CCATTCAGTGTCCTCAACCCCTCTCTGCCAATCCCTCCTCTGGTTTTCAATAAGTGTCCTCAACCCCTTTCTGCCAATCCCTCCACTGGCCTCCATTCAGTGTCCTCAACCCCTCTCTGCCAATCCCTCCTCTGGTTTTCAATAAGTGTCCTCAACCCCTTTCTGCCAATCCCTCCACTGGCCTCCATTCAGTGTCCTCCACCCCTCTCTGCCAATCCCTCCACTGGCCTCCATTCAGTGTCCTCCACCCCTCTCTGCTGCAATCTCTCCTCTGGTTTCCAATAAGTGTCCTCAACCCCTCTCTGCCAAACCCTCCACTGGCCTCCATTCAGTGTCCTCCACCCCTCTCTGCCAATCTCTCCTCTGGTTTCCAATAAGTGTCCTCAAACCCCTCTCTGCCAAACCCTCCACTGATTTCCAATAAGTGTCCTCCACCCCTCTCTGCCAAACCCTCCACTGATTTCCAATAAGTGTCCTCCACCCCTCTCTGCCAATCCCTCCACTGTTTTTCAAAAAAATGTCCTCCACCCCTCTCTGCCAATCCCTCCACTGACCTCCACTCAGTGTCCTCCACCCCTCTCTGCCAATCCCTCCACTGACCTCCACTTGCACAAGGAATAAAACTGAAAATACCAACGTACAAATCTATGCATAACTCCGCCCCAAGCTACTCCCCCACGAACACATCATCAGTCAGCCCCCTTCAGCTTTAGCGTCCCCCTTTACAACAGAGACTGTAGCCCCACTTCCCAAATAAAGAGTCTTATCTTCAAACCTTTGCAGCAGACTCATGGCGGTGAGCGGGAGGGCGGAGCAGATCTGGACTGAATCCACTTCAAATGCCCTCCGATTGGTCAACATCATTTGTTTCCATGGTGTGGGCCAGTTGCCTGCACCATAGCAATAAATGGTGTCATGCATCCTGGTTGCCCCTCTTCATCATGGAAATCAATGTGGTGCAGAGCAGAGGGACATGGCACTGTGCAGTCATGCAAACTCGGCCTTGTTGAGCCTGCGTGGTGCTCTCCATTTCTTTATCCTGACGTCACTAGTCCTGGGGGTTGGGACTAAAATCTGGGGGGGGGGGGGGACGCTAGTTTGGCCCTGCTGGTGATATCCTGAGCTGTTCTGCCTGCCCTATCCACGGCATCTGTGGTCTATGCAGAAATCCAGCCCTATCTCCCTCCATCATTGGGTCTGGAGATATCTTGGCTCCAATCACTGCTGGTCACTGGATGACAATGAGGGCAGAAACGTCCATCAGAGAACCACCATCTAATCTCACCAGTGTAGGTTCCATTCTCTGAGTCACCTAAGGCACACGTGTCAAACACAATGCCCACATGTGACCTCTCCTGCAGCGGTGGCACCTCCCTTGTCTCCTCCCCCACCTTTTTTCAGCAGTCAGCAGCAGAGAGGAGGAGATAATTCCTCCTACAGATCCTGCACCTCTCTGTGCAGCTGCAGCACCCTCTCATTATCTCAGCATTCACAAGATTCACAAGACTCCTACAGCCGACTCCAGCCCTCCTCTGGTCCACCTCCAGACCCTGCACTTTCTACTTTCCAGCTCCACCCCCAGTTTCTTCCCAGCAGCACAAGGTAAGTGGGGTGCTCTGTGATGTAAGGGATTTTGGGGGGCTCTTCATATCTGATGAAAAGGGGGGTGGGGTGCTCTGGACAACAGGTCCTTTGAGGGGAACCATAATGATGGTGCGGCCCACAATGACATTGAGTTTGGCACCCCTGATCTAAGGAAAGTGCTCCACAAACTTCCCACCTTCAGTCTCTCCGTAACCACTTCCTGTCCGGACACTTCTACCCCTTCCTGTCCAGGGCAATTCTCAGCTTTCAGCGCTATCACACTCTGAATGACAATTGCGCGGTCATGCAACACTGTACCCATATGAATTTTTTACCATTTTTTTTGAGACAGATAAAGCTTTATTTTGGTGGTATTTATTCACCGCTGGGATTTTTATTTTTTTTACTATGTAAATGAAAAAAAGTTCAAACATTTTGAAAAAAAAAGTGTTTTTTTTTTTAAAAAAAAATTTGCAAATAAATAATATTTCATCATAAATCTTAGCCAAAATGTATTCCGTTATTTTTTTAGTAAAAAAAAAAAAAAAAAAAATCCAAATTAGTTTATAACCAAAAATTTATAATTTTTAAACATTAATTTTTACATTTTATTTTTTTTATATATATATATATATTTTTTTTACATACTGTCACCCTAGCAGTACAGTGTCACCATGGTGACACTGTACTACTTGTGGGGGGGGATGAAGATTTTTTTTTTTTTTTTTTTTTTTACACTGATGATTGCTTTTACACCCATATAGGATGTAAAAGCAATCATTTCTCTTTCTCTCTGGATGCATTCTTGCAGTCATTGAGAATTACTGAGTGAGCTGTGAGTGGTCACAGCTTGTCACATGGTACAAGGCTGTTGTGAATAGCCCTGTACCATGTGACCTCTGTGATCATTCACAGATTTCACACATAGTAAGCAATGATGTCACAAGTGACATCTTGCTTACTACTTTGCATGTGATCACTGATTCGCCAATCAGTGATCACATGATCGGGACCTCGTACAGAAGTCCCGTCCGACGATCGGGACGATCCGGAGGACACAGCGGGCACCGGATCGCGGTGGTGCGCGCTCCCAGGGAGCACGCACAGCTAGAAAAGGCGGGAGCCGTTTATGAACAGCGGCCGGACGGGAAGAGGTTTAACAGACACATATTTTCCTCGGCTGCAAATTAGAAGTCATTTTTTTGCAGTTGCGCCTCGAACACGCGTCTCTTCAAGAATTATTTGTTAAGAGTTTAAGTCCGTTCGATCGGAGTAATAATATCCCGGAGACTCAGGAGGCACGGGGGAAGAATTGGGAGTGATTACCCATTCCTGGAAATTAGAGTCTTTGTTGTGTTCCTCGGTCAGGACGAGCGTCGCAGTCAGCGGAAAGAATATGTTTTCAGTATTTACTTACAAATTGCATCGCCTTCTGGAGCGGATTTAAGTACGGATAATTTGTTTTGCGCCTGGAAACCTGTAAATTATACCAATTTCAATTTTCCCTCACTGTGCTCACAAGTAGGTCTTAATTTGCACCTTCAGGAGATAGAGTATGAAGTCTGCAGAATGGGGCTATATATACATCTCTGTATGGAAGGATTCAAAAAAATGCATCTTGCTACATGATCCCTTCCTGTGTGAACTTTGGGTTTCAGATGTTTGCAGCACATAGAATTGTGGCACCTCTGCTTCCTGTTTCTGTGGAATCAGAGGTTGTGGAAGGAAGGGGCCCTTGTCAGTGGCCTCCCTAGGGTTATTATTATTTATTATTATACAGGATGGCGTCATGACGTCACAATATATTATTATACAGGATGGTGTCATGACGTCACAATATATTATTACACAGGATGGTGTCATGACGTCACAATATATTATTATACAGGATGGTGTCATGACGTCACAATATATTATTATACAGGATGGCGTCATGACGTCACAATATATTATTATACAGGATGGTGTCATGATGTCACAATATATTATTATACAGGATGGTGTCATGACGTCACAATATATTATTATACAGGATGGCGTCATGACGTCACAATATATTATTATACAGGATGGTGTCATGATGTCACAATATATTATTATACAGGATGGTGTCATGACGTCCAATATATTATTATACAGGATGGCATCATGACGTCACAATATATTATTATACAGGATGGTGTCATGACATCACAATATATTATTATACAGGATGGTGTCATGACGTCACAATATATTATTATACAGGATGGTGTTATGACGTCACAATATATTATTATACAGGATGGTGTCATGACGTCACAATATATTATACAGGATGGCGTATGACCTCACAATATATTATTATACAGGATGGTGTCATGACGTCGCAATATATTATTATACAGGATGGTGTCATGACGTCACAATATATTATTATACAGGATGGTGTCATGACGTCACAATATATTATACAGGATGGCGTCATGACCTCACAATATATTATTATACAGGATGGTGTCATGACGTCACAATATATATTATACAGGATGGCATCATGACGTCACAATATATTATTATACAGGATGGCATCATGACGTCACAATATATTATACAGGATGGCGTCATGACCTCACAATATATTATTATACAGGATGGTGTCATGACGTCGCAATATATTATTATACAGGATCGTGTCATGACGTCACAATATATTATTATACAGGAAGGCGTCATGACATCACAATATATTATTATACAGGATGGCATCATGACGTCACAATATATTATACAGGATGGCGTCATGACGTCACAATATATTATTATACAGGATGGCGTCATGACATCACAATATATTATTATACAGGATGGCGTCATGATGTCACAATATATTATTATACAGGATGGTGTCATGACGTCGCAATATATTATTATACAGGATTTATGGAGCCAACAGTTTGCTCAGCGCTTTACAATATAACGGGAGACAATACAGCAACGATACAGTTCAATACAAGAAGGATAGGAGGGCCTGATCCTGGGAGCTTACAATCTAAGAGGGAGGGGCTAGTGGTACAAAAGGTAATAACTGTAGGGGATGGACTGGTAGGAGGAATAGAAGATTCCATTATTAGCTGAGGGCAGGATAGGCTTCCCTGAAGAGAGAGGTTTTTAGAGATCGCCTAAAAGTGGGCAGAGTAGGCGATAGTCTGATAGATTGGGGTAGAGAGTTCCAGAGGATGGGGGAAGCTCTGGAAAAGTCCTGGAGACGAGCATGGGAGGAGGAGACAAGGAAGCTAGAGAGCAGGAGGTTGTGCGAGGAGCGGAGAGTACGGTTTAGGTGATATTCGGACACAATATTGGTGATGTAATTTGGGGCGGAGTTATAAATGGCTTTATATGTTATTGTTAATGTTTTGAATTTTATCCATTGGGCAATGGGAAGCCAGTGGAGGGATTGGCAGAGGAGGGTGGAGGACACTGAATGGAGGCCAGTGGAGGACACTGAATTGTGGAGGGATTGGCAGAGGGGGGTGGAGGACACTGAATGGAGGCCAGTGGAAGGAGGATTGGGGTGGGGGACACTGAATGGAGGGGGCAGAGAGGAGTGGGGACACTGAATGGAGGCCAGTGGAGGGATTGGCAGAGAGGGGTGGAGGACACTGGGGACACTGGCAAGAGGGGTGGAGGACCTGAGTGGAGGGATTGGCAGAGAGGGGTGGAGGACACTGAATGGAGGCCAGTGGAGGGATTGGCAGAGAAGGATGGAGGACCCACTGGAGGGATTGGCAGAGAGAGGTGGCAGATACAGAATGGTTAGTAAGGTGTATGAGTCTGGCAGCAGCATTCATGATAGACTGAAGAGATAGCCTGCGACGAGATGTTGCGGAGGTTGTAGATGTTGCGGAGGTTGGAGATGTTGTGGAGGTGAAGTCTACAAGATTTGGACAGCGATTGGATTTGGGGCTGAAAGGACAGATGGGAGTCTAGGATTAGGGTTGGTGTCACCCAGTAAGGTAACACTATGGTGTCACCCCTCCAGACTTCTCTAGAGTCTACCAGACCATAATAATACCAACAACTGTCCAGTCTCCAATCGAAAAGAATCCAAACAGCAAAAGCCCTTTATTAGTAAAAACTCGTTGCTTATATCCTACGAACTTCAGTGCTGGTCACGCGCTTGTTTGAGGTAATCACAGGACTTGGGCATTTAAGTTGTTTGCGATTTGTTGTCTGAACGTTAGATTCGATCACATGTGCAGTTCCTTCTTGTTCCTTAATCCCGCTTATTATTTGTTGCGTCTAATCAATCCAGAATTTGGCGCCAACGCCTTGCAAAGTGCTTGAAGAAGGGTTGGCCCAAATATCATTTCTGCTCTGTCGAAATTAAATTTTTTCATTTTGGTGTCACCCCCCTATGATGCTTGCGATAGGTGTCACCCGGTGCGGCTCGCACCCCCTGCACCCACCTAGGGATGCCACTGGCTCTTGTACTTATTTACACTCACCAGCCACTTTTTTAGATCCACCTTGCTAGTAGTGGGTTGGACCCCTTTTTTGCCTTCAGAATTGTTTTCATTCTTCATGGCATAGATTCAACAAGTGGTTTGAGAACATTCCTCAGAGATGTTGGTCCATATTGACATGATAGCATCACACTGGTGCTGCAGATTTGTCGGCTGCACATCCATTATGCGAATCTCCCGTTCCACCACATCCTAAAGGTGCTCTATTGGATGGAGATCTGGTGACTGTGGAGGCCATTGGAGACCAGTGATCTCATTGTCATGTTCAAGAAACCAGTTGGAGATGATTTGAGCTTTGTGACATGAAGCATTATCCTGCTGGAAGAAGCCGTCAGAAGGTGTTGGAATCTCCCGTTCCACCACATCCCAAAGGTGCCCTATTGGATGGAGATCAGGTGACTGTGGAGGCCATTGGAGTCCAGTGATCTCATTGTCATGTTCAAGAAACCAGTTGGAGATGATTTGAGCTTTGTGGTGCATTATCCTGCTGGAAGAAGCCATCAGAAGGTGTTGGGAACATTCCTCAGAGATTTTGCTCCATATTGACATGATGGCATCACGCAGTTGCTGCAGATTTGTTGGCTGCACATCCATGATGCCAATCTCCCTTTCCACCACAACCCAAAGGTGCTCTATTGGATGGAGATCTGGTGACTGTGGAGGCCATTGGAGACCAGTGATCTCATTGTCATGTTCAAGAAACCAGTTGGAGATGATTGGAGCTTTGTGACATTGAGCATTATCCTGCTGGAAGGAGCCATCAGAAGGTGCTGGAATCTCCCGTTCCACCACATCCCAAAGGTGCCCTATTGGATGGAGATCAGGTGACTGTGGAGGCCATTGGAGTACAGTAAATGTCCCACCAAAAGAAGAAAGTAGTCCCCAAAGAGCGACTTGGCAGGACAATGGGCCTCAGAAGCAACTCCTAGTAAAGTTAGCAGGTATTCCTACTGGCCCTAACCACTATACGGTTCCATTAGAATGTGGCATGTGACTAGGACTTGTGAACTACTGATGGAGTGCCCAGGCTAGATGGAAGTCCGCATACAAAGAAACAAACAGAGGGCTCACGGGCCTAGTGCATTACCTATGAAAATTGATTAAATAAAAAAGTAATATACTCACAAAAGGATAAAATATCAAAGGCACGCCATAAGAAGTACAGCATGGTCCAATCTCCCTAGAGATGGTGTCTTTATGGGGACTAGTAGACCAAATTACTGACGCGTTTCGAGACCTTGCCTTTTCCTAAGAGCCAGGCCTTTGATATTTTATCCTTTTGTGAGTATATTACTTTTTTATATAATGAATCAATGTTCAGGTAATGCACTAGGCCCGCATGTATTCAGTTCATTTGGATTTCCCTGGTCCGATGAGGACAGCAAGACGTGCATCCTATAGGCCTCCATTGTGTGGTTACAGTCACTGTGGAGTCCATCGTCCAGCACAGGAGTCAAAGCATTTGCTATTTTCTGTTAGATGGAAGTCTGGATAAAAGTCAACTAATGACCAGTTCTTTCTGGATAACATGAAATCACAATAAAACACAAGAGTTCTCCAGGCAATGGTTCTCCTGCAGCTACAAGTCCGTGACCCTCCTGAACCCGCAGAGAATCTGGTCTTCCCAGTATCAGGGGCCAGGAGTATGTGATGCAGAGTTCAGGGGTCAGGAGTATGTGATGCAGAGTTCAGGGGCCAGGAGTATGTGATGCAGAGTTCAAGAGTATGTGACACAGAGTTCAGGGGTCACGAGTATGTGACACAGAGTTCAGGGGTCAGGGGTCATGTGATGCAGAGTTCAGGGGTCAGGAGTGCACAGAGTTCAGGGGTCAGGAGTATGTGACACAGAGTTCAGGGGTCAGGAGTATGTGATGCAGAGTTCAGGGGTCAGGAGTATGTGATACAGAGTTCAGGGGTCAGGAGTATGTGATGCAGAGTTCAGGGGTCGGAGTATGTGATGCAGAGTTCAGGGGTCAGGAGTATGTGATGCAGAGTTCAGGGTCAGGAGTATGTGATGCAGAGTTCAGGGTCAGGAGTATGTGATGCAGAGTTCAGGCGTATGTGATGCAGAGTTCAGGGGTCAGGAGTATGTGATGCAGAGTTCAGGCGTATGTGATGCAGAGTTCAGGGGTGAGGTGCTGCCCCCATGAAAAATGCCGCCCTAGGCAAGTGCCTTGTTTGCCTTATGGTAAATACACCCCTGGCTACCAAAAAGGCTCTCCAGTCTCTCCTCTCGTGTTCTTTTCTCAGGGGCCCATTGCTGGGCGTCTCTCCTCCCTACTGAGGACCACCACCCAACACTCATAACCTGGTCTCCTCTGACCACCGTGCCTCCATACAGTGACACCGATCCCTGGTCAGCCATGTTCCTAGCGGACCCTCCGTCTGTGAACGTTCACTTTAAGGAAGACTACTGCTGCAAAAAAAAAAAATCATCATTAAACCTGAAGTACCGCGATAAGTCCCTTTTAATATTCCAAAAAAGAGAACATTTCCTTTATCTTCATGTTCCATGTTTTCCTCTCCGAAGATCTCGCTTCTCCCTCCACACATCTTACGAGGGTTTTACATAAGAAAGAACTAAGAAAAGAAATCACAGAGGAGGAGGAGGAGGAGGAGGAGGAGGAGGAGGAGAGGAGGGTGACCAGCAATGATTCTTCTAATACATCTCCAGGCGAAGAATCCCCTGTGATCTCTGTGTACTGAAATAATTGGGTGCGTTTCATCCGTCTATAGAACGCTTTATTTCCAGGAACATTTTCCGAGGGGGAATCTACCCAACGAAGAGCAACTGATCACTCATTCCTATGAATGACTATCAATTCAACCGACCGCTGAGACGCTTTCTGGCGGCTTATTGTGGTAACTAGGACATAATGATTCCCGATTCCACGCAACACGTAACAAAGCTGCCCGCCGGTAAAACTGAAACCTGTCAATAAATCCAGCCCCCCCCGGCCTCAACAAAGATACACACAACCCAATGGACCCCGCATTCCCTATATCCGCTCTCCCCGGACCCCGCATTCACTATATCCGCTCTCCCCGGACCCCGCATTCACTATATCCGGTCTCCCCGGACCCCGCATTCCCTGTATCCGCTCTCCCCGGACCCCAAATTCACTATATCCGCTCTCCCCGGACCCCGCATTCACTATATCCGCTCTCCCCGGACCCCGCATTCTCTATATCCGCTCTCCCCGGACCCCGCATTCACTATATCCGCTCTCTCCGGTCCCCGCATTCCCTATATCCGCTTTCTTCGGACCCCACATTCCCTATATCCGCTCTCCCCGGACCCCGCATTCACTATAGCCGCTCTCCCCGGACCCCGCATTTCCTATATCCGCTCTCCCCGGACCCCGCATTCCCTATATCCGCTTACTTCGGACCCCGCATTCACTATATCCACTCTCCCCGGACCCCGCATTCACTATATCCGCTCTCCCCGGTCCCCGCATTCACTATATCCGCTCTCCCCGGTCCCCACATTCCCTATATACGCTTTCTTCGGACCCCACATTTCCTATATCCGCTCTCCTCCCGGACACCGCATTCACTATATCCGCTCTCCCCCGGTCCCCGCATTTCCTATATCCGCTCTCCCCGGACCCCGCATTCACTATATCCGCTTACTTCGGACCCCGCATTCACTATATCCGCTCTCCCCGGACCCCGCATTCACTATATCCGCTCTCCACAGACCCAGCATTCACTATATCCGCTCTCCCCGGACCCCGCATTCACTATATCCTCTCTCCCGGACCCCGCATTCACTACATCCGCTCTCCACGGACCCCGCATTCACTACATCCGCTCTCCCCGGACCCCGCATTCACTATATCCGCTCTCCCCAGACCCCGCATTCACTATATCCGCTTACTTCGGACCCCGCATTCACTATATCCGCTCTCCCCGGACCCCGCATTCACTATATCCGCTCTCCACGGACCCCGCATTCACTATATCCGCTCTCCCCGGACCCCGCATTCACTACATCCGCTCTCTCCGGACCCCGCATTCACTACATCCGCTCTCCCCGGACCCCGCATTCACTATATCCACTCTCCACGGACCCCGCATTCACTACATCCGCTCTCCCCGGACCCCGCATTCCCTATATCCGCTCTCCACGGACCCCGCATTCACTACATCCGCTCTCCCCGGACCCCGCATTCACTATATCCGCTCTCCCCGGACCCTGCATTCACTATATCCCTCCCCGGACCCCGCATTCACTATATCCGCTCTCCCCAGACCCCGCATTCACTATATCCGCTCTCCCCCGGACCCCGCATTCACTATATCCGCTCTCCCCGGACCCCGCATTCACTATATCCGCTCTCCCCGGACCCCGCATTCACTATATGCGCTCAATTACGTTATGTCC